AAAAAATTGTTTGATTGAACCAAATTTTCTCGCTTAGAAACTTTTTGGACAGTAAAGAAATATGTTTGGATTTAGTTATAACCCAGGCAATGTACATAAAAAATATTTTATGATGAAAGAACTTGTCTAATGAATGTCGATGCTGTCCTAATGCTGTTGTTAGAAGAATTTGCTATCCAATTATAAAGTTAAAATTGACATCAGCGGTGACAGTTAAGTCACAGACAAGGGGCCGTATGCACAAAAGCTAAGCAATTGCTTTTTCTTAAAGTTTCATACCTTTCACTTGAATTTATTAATCAAATTCAGTAAAAGATCCGAAATTTTAAGAAAAAGAATTTGCTTAAATTTTATGCATACGGCCCAAATTCTAACGTCACAAAGTAATTTTATGAAAACTGCTGCCAGCAGGTTTTAGATATAAGCCCCCGATATATACGTTGATCGAAATGGCCTTAAAAAATATTTAAGGGTGAATATTTTCCTTCAAAAGAGACTTTTTTCCTAAAGCGATCACTCCTCGGCAGCAAATGGCGAATCTTCGAGACTGCTACTGCCATTATAGCATATCACAATGGCACAATTTTACGGAAATAGTACGTTAAGATTAATCACTTTCGCGTAATCAATTGTTATTTATTAAGTTTGATCATAATCAAACGCGTGGATACATGACGTATGAGTAACATTATTTCATGTTCATGTATACATACTTATGTACCTACATACCCTATTAAGCTGGCATTTCAGGGTACTATTTTATATATATATAAGGAAAATTTTAAAGTTGGGTGCTCGAGCCCCCCCCCCCCCCTACGGCTTCTCAAGGTGACTGATTAGAATATGATCTTGAATTTTGAAAATTCAAAATGGCGGACGACGATTATAAAACAACAATATAGATTTTTATAAAGTTTCGAATCCAGATGTTGTCGTCGTCACTGATTTCGAAATTAACACCAAGAAATTAGAAAATTATTACATATTTAATTACACAGCAGGAAGAAAAACACGGTAACGTAATTTTGACCTCTAGATAACGGTACCGATTTCAGAAAATCCGTATCACATCAAGATTTTGAAGTTTTATGAAAAAAAAAGTTAAAAAAAAAAAATTCCTTTTCATTAAAGCCTTTTCTTTTACGAAAAAACAAGCTACTAGCGACGAAACGGATGAATAAATAAAGGAGTGGTGAATATGCAAATGAAAATGCGCAATGATTTTTTAATGATTCACATGTGCTGGCAAAATGTTACTCATACGCCATGTACTACGAGTATGTCATGAAACTATACAAATTGTGCAAATTGTGCTTATTTACTTATTTTTAATCACTTTCATTTAAAATGTAATTCAATCTATAACAGAAACCACAATAATAAAAGTTTAAAAGCTGGGACAAATTGTAAAAAAATATATCAAACTTCAAAATATTGTCATCAAAATTTCAAAATTTTTAATTAGAATATTTAGAAGGGTGTTTCAGTTTTTTTTTTTCATATAAAAAAAAAGTTTGATCATGTGTTATATGGAAGAAAATCCGCAACACCCCCCACAAAAAAAAATCTAAAAAATCAGCGATAATTTTTAACGACTAGAAACTTGCACTTTCTTATACTTTAATTAAATGGGCTTCAAAACTGCATACCCGAAAATTTTCTAACTATTCTAATTAAAATATTTGAAATTTTGAAGACAATTATTAATTTGTTTGCAATTTGTGCAAGCTTTTGAACTTATATTATTGTGGTTTCTATTATAGATTGAATTATATTTTAAATGAAAATTAATAAAAATAAATATATAAACATAATTTGCAAACAATATCATTTTGAATTTCGTTGCTAGTTAGTCAATCGCATCTGTACATACATATATAGTCGCCCGTATGCCAAAAACAAGAATGTGTAAAAATTAAAATTTTGAGAACTCAAGTTTGATTTCTTTTTAAGACTTAACATTTATGCAATTGAAATTGTAAAATATGTGTTTTCCGTGTACGCATGATATTTTGGATTTTGGTATAACATATAACATTCAAGGGTATGGCGGATCCAATATGGCGAACAAATTTTATTTTATTTTTTGAATTTGCTCGTAAATTGTAACCCGGGGGTATTTGGTGTCGCCGATTATGAATTTGACCATGATATTTTAAAATTTAAAATGGCGAATCCAATATGGCGGAATAATTTCTAAAATTTATTAAATCCGATCGAAACTTGTTACTCGGAGGCTTTTGGTAGGATTTTTAGTAATTTTTATGACAACTGATTACGAATCTGAAAGCGGGGTTTCAAACCTTTCGAATGACCGGTCCAATATGGCAGCTATTAGGTTCCTCTTAAATTCAAATCTCAAACAAAGTTGGCGATAATTTTCTGTTTGTGCGTAGTTTATATGTTAAGAAATAATAATATCTCAGTCGATTTTTGGTATTTTTGGATTTTGGCAGATGGCATTTTTTTCGGGAGACTAGGGATAAAAATTTCGTGGTTTTACGTTACACCGCATATTTTAATATTTTGTTTTCTTAAATAACACGGTGCTACAACAAAAAATAGTTATGAAATACACCCGAAACAAAACCTTGTGTAGGTTGTAGGTAAGGTCGAATACAACATGAAAATATACCATAAAACCGTTATTTTCGTACTTGATGCACTTATCTCTTAATAGCTTGACTATTTTCCATCCGATTTTAAAAATCGAACAAGTTTTGAAAAGAGGATTTATAGACTTTTTAAACGATGGACAGAAGTCCATAAAACACAATTGCTTTCATTTATTTATTTACACACATATGTATGTATGTTCATTCAAATTTTGTTTTTTTCGACAGAAATAGTGTGAGTGAAAATAAAAACTAACAAATGAAATGATGGCGGGAGAAATTTTCAAAATGCTAGCAAACGTCAAAATCTCTAAAGCTGGCTCTCAGCGGTGATACCTTATAAATATTTTTATCAAGGATCAAACCTCAGCTTTCGTTAAAGAATAAAAAAAAAATAAATAAAAAAATAGTATCCTCTACTCAAAAAATTCAAATTTATTTGTCACTTAATTTTTTTTTTTCAAAAAATTCATATTACCCATCGAAAGGGCAAGAAAAAATCTATATGGCTATTTTCACTGCTTCCCTCAGTACAAATTTGCTCTCTCGGAGTTCCCAGCGCGAAATTTTTAACAAACGTTATTGTGTTGCGATTTTCATCATTCCGTATCCTCTCCCTATGAATATATTTTATTAAAAAAAAGTCGTAGGCATGCCTAACGTACAAAGTTATCAAGGCGAATTCGAATAACATGGTGGCAGCCAAGCGAATTTATACAAGGTGGTGTTACTGGCGAAATTAGATTACAACAACAACAACCACATGTATTTTGTATTGAGGGTGTTATGTCAAATCTCGATTCGCCCCAAAGTTTGCATGTATTTTGTTTTTGCTTTTGATGGGTGTGCTGTCAAATCAGTAAAATCAAAAACAAAATACATGTAAGGCGAAGAAATCAGCTAATTTTACAACACCACCTTGTATAAATTTGCCTTGGTGGCAGCCGAACAAAAAAAATTAAATTTATTTTGTCTGTGACTTTTAGCATAGTGATTGTCAAAATTTCCTTGTGAAAAGAAAAAAATCAAAACGTAAACAAGGAACTCATTTTGATAACCCCTACGCCAAGGCCAGTAAAAAAAGTAAAATCAGCTGTTCTAAGAACTAAATCGCATATAAAGTATTTATATACATATGTACATATGTATGTGTGTATATTACACACTGAGGTATGGCACATACATAATTGCGACGTTGGTCCTTCGCCTCAAAAATAATATTACCATCAATCATCAATCTAAAAAGTAGGTCAGCATTTGACACCATTAAACATTATTTAAAAAATAAATAGAAGTCTAAAAAACACAGCAAAGAAATATTCGAAAATTCAGCAGATATAACAATGTGCGTGCCCCTATTTGATTCACAAACATACATATGTATGTATATAGGTGCATGCACACACGTTATATGTATATGTAGTCGACTCACTCTAACTGCTCTTATGAAATTGTACGAAAAAATTACCCACTATTTTTCGCACGTATGTACATACATACATACATATGTATGTGTTTTCAGTATGAAAATCGTGGAAGCTCGCCAACTGTTGGCATACGTTCATGTGTGTATGTGTAGTTTTCGAAACTGTGAGTAGCATGTGCGAGAGTGGGAGAGTCTATCCACGACAAGCGCTTTCGAATTTGAAACATCCCACTATTTTACGTGCAGTGTTTCTATTTATACAATTTCTGTTTCGAACATCAAAAATATCTAGTCAAAGTATGTCAAGCAGTAATGAACTTTTGTGAAACTAACGGTGAATCACTACTAGCTGCAAGGACGTTCGTTGCCACTATACATACACTGAAAGATCAAATGCCAATAATGTGTACATATAAATATTGGCAACACTGATCGAGAGAAAAATCTGTATACACATAAATTCGAATGAGATTTCTCGTACACCCCTTCTCCATCTCCGTTTACCCATTCTATTTTATTAATTTTAACTGCTGTTTTACTTTTCTGTATTTATTTTATTAACACTAATTGATTTTTTATCCATTTTGCCCCCTTTCCATGGCGCAAATATTTTCTCCATGCTCCCTTTCGAACTAAAAATTTTCTAAATTTGTCAATTTATATGAAAATTTTGTTGTTTACTTCATCAAAATTTTAATTATAAGTTCGCATATTTTTTTAAACAAAATAAAATATTTTGTCCGTACTACAAACAAACTGGAGCATCCAATCTAAATTTAGAGTAGGAAGCGACGCCACCACTTACATCACAGCTCGCCCGCTTAAATATTTCCACAATGAATAACGGTCCGCATGCTATTCGCAATTTTTTTAGAAAATTTGTCACCTGCTTCTCTTGTAAGATTCAGTCGCTGGTATTCATAACTAATTTATTTTCTTAATTTGTTCCTCTCTTGCAGTGCAACAACAACATGTAGGCGCTGGCGGTACCTACACTCCGCCATCCCTAACGCACATTTACGCTCAAGGCGATATTTCACCACCGATATTTGAGCAAATTTTCAAGAACGCCCGCTTCGCTCAAGGCGGCAATGCCCTCTTCGAGGGTAAGCTATGTGGCAATCCAAAGCCATTCGTTTCTTGGACCCGAAAAGGCGCACCACTTCTCGAGTCACAAAAATTCCGAATGACCTACAACGAGGCCACCGGCGAAGTATCGTTGCTGATTAACCAAATAGGACCTGGTGATGAAGGCGAATACACATGCACCGCACGCAATCAATATGGCGAGGCCATATGCAGTGTTTACATCCAGCCTGAGGGCGCGCCTATGCCAGTGCTGCAGCCCGTTCAAAAGCTCGATAAGTCATCGTACACCAACGGCTATTCGTACACCTCGATTGAGGAGGAGTTCCGTGTCGATACATTTGAATATCGATTGCTACGCGAAGTGCAATATCGTGAGGCTATTACACGCCGTTCGGCTTACGAACAAGATCAACATTTAACGCAGGAATTGGACCGCACTTTGGGTCCTGCTCATGCACCACAATTATCTCAGAAGCCACGTAGCTCGAAACTTATTGAAGGTTCTGACGCCGTTTTCAGCGCTAAGGTGGGCTCTAATCCCAAGCCACGCCTCACTTGGTTCCATAATGGTCAACGCCTGGTAACATCGCAAAAATACGAAACTTCATATTCCAGTGGTATTGCTACGCTGCGGGTTAAGAACGCCACTTACCAAGATGCCGGCCACTATACGCTGCTTGCAGAAAATACCCAGGGTTGCGTAGTCTCTTCAGCCGTTTTGGCTGTAGAACCAGCTGCCGAAAGTACTCACGAACCGAAGCCAGTCGATGTTACAGCAGAACAGCTGGAAGCTGGTAAAGCCTTGCCACCCACTTTCGTGAAGGGCTATGCTGATCGCGAAGTCACTGAGGGTCGCATGACTCGTTTTGATTGCCGCGTCACTGGCAATCCTTATCCTGAAGTTGTCTGGCTAATCAACGGCCGTCCTGTCAAAGATGATGTATCACATAAGATTCTTGTCAACGAATCTGGTAGTCACTCGCTGATGATTACCAACGTCAGTCGTCTGGATGCGGGCGCAGTACAGTGTTTGGCACGTAACAAGGCTGGTGAGGTTGCCATCGAAGCGCAACTGAATGTGTTGGAAAAAGAACAAATTGTCGCACCACAATTTGTTCAAAGATTCAGCACAATGACCGTACGTGAAGGTGAACCCATCACTATGAGTGCCAATGCCATCGGCACTCCAGTGCCACGCATCACATGGCAGAAGGACGGTGTGCAAATTTCGTCAACTAATGAACGATATATAGGTATTGACGGTGGCGCCACCTGCTTGGAGATTCCACGCGTCACGGCCACCGACGCAGGCTGGTATCAGTGCACAGCACAAAATATTGCCGGCTCGACTGCTAATCGTGCAAGACTCTATGTAGAAGTTCCCAGAGAACAACCGACACATGAACAAAGACGTCTCAATTTACCGCGGCCAACGAAAATCATCGAACCAGAGTAAGTGCACTGAGTAAGCTAAACAATTACTTTCTACCATTTTTGTGTTTTCCTTTTTCATTACCAAAGGCCTGTACCTGGTCCAGAAATAATTTATTTACGCCATGTAGAACGCGCAAA